CACCATGCCGCACAATTTGAAGGTCATGTCCAATCTCGTTCCCAGAATATGCCTGTTCGCGGGTTATGTAGTGGCAAAGGAGGAGTGAGGACTATACCGGCATGCAACGCGGTCGGGCGCGGTTTTTTACATATTACCGATTTCTCGCTCTGCGCCGTCATTGTTCGTAGTGATGGGCGATACCAGCTTTTTTGGGTTCGATAATTGATACGATACCAGTCCGATACCATGAATTTTGGTCGATACCGATACCAAAATCGATATCGATACTCAATTTTTCTCCATAAGTCAAAGAATACTCTAACTGGAGTACCTACCAAATAATCGAACATAACATTTGCAATTATGATTTTAAATCTAAACAATATCAATGTGTTCAATGTTTTTCTTAAATGTATTGCTAATTGGCTACATGTTTTTGTTAAAGAACAGCAGCATGTCAATATTTATTGTCTTCAGTCTGTTGCCTTCATGAAGTATTAAGCAATTTTTCAGGAATACTGACCAAAAACATCGCAGGCTCAAGTGGTATCGAATTACCGATACTTTTTTCGAGTATCGAAAGTATCGATACTTTTGTAAGTATCGATGATTCCGATACTTTTTCGATAGTATCGCCCATCACTAATTGTTCGGTCGGCTCTCGCTGTGTTTACACCTCGAGGATTCGAGCGATTCGGAAAGATTTATAGAAAAAAATTGTAAAATGGTGAATTTTTGCACTATTCGTGGAAAGAAAGCTTCGTTTTTGGGTGGACACAAGCTTCTGTTTGTTCACTGTGTGTCAAAACAGCCATTAATCTTGATTCCGGAAGGACTACCGTGTGATGAACTTGAAATGTCGTGAGGTTCATGTTTATATAGTTTTACGGAATACAGATAGTTTGAAGAATAGTCCTTTGTCAAGCTGTGGTTATGATTCTTGTGTGTATGAGTATGTTTTGCAAAATAATCTTTCAAAGTAAGACGTTTTCCAGACTGCATGATTTACTTTCGCCTCGGCCGGTTACAAAACTCAAAAGCCGTGTCGATGTGAGCTGTGGTGTTTCCTGACAAAACAAGAAATGTCTACTATTATTTAAGCTGTAGTTTTCCTTGTACAGTATTTATATTCAGCCGTTTCGCTATTTCTACATGGGTACGTAGCCGGTATTCTAAATTTTAGAATGTGGGTAGTACCCATATATACCTGAGCATCCTAATCCCAACCCCCGACCCTAACCTCTAACCCCTAACCCCTAGAATCTAACCCTTAAAACCTAACCCCTAAATATTAAAGGCAATAGCCATATTGTTCAAGACGAGAGAAAAGCAAATTTCGTGTGAATCACCACTTGCATGGAGACGCCTATATATAGATGAAGCTTGGATGCAGCTTTGCCTGTGGTTGAAAATTTCCAGAAATATCGGTATATCTTAGAAAACATAGACGGGGTCTTCAGAGATTTCAGCTGATTCGTGCCAAACTTCGCTACATATGAGGGCCCGTGGAGGAGGCAGCTGTCAACTTTCCCTGTGGAAGCAAACCGGACCACCCTGAGGAAACCCACGACTTTCGGATCTGCGTTGACGGACTCTTTTCACACGAGTCCGTAGCGAGAATCGAGCCCACGATCTCAGAGGTGAAAGGCGTTGGCTCTGACGACTGCGCCACCGAAGCCCCATTGGTTTTAACCATTGAACTATAAATAAACTGGAAGGCTAACTCAGGGGGGGAAATTGAAGCCAGTGCATTTTAGTTTTTCTGAGTTATGAGCAGAAATACTCAACACTGAACGTTGGGCTATATATCAAATTGAAGCTATTGAAAAACGCTATTTGGTGTAGAAATTTCAAGACTTTAGCTAAAAGGGAAATATTGAAAAACTACAAACATAATTACCGATAATTTGCCGTTTTGCAGTTGTTTTTGTATTTTTTAAATATTTTTCTTTTCGCTGAAGTCTTGAAATTTCCACACCGAATAGCAATTTTCAATAGCTTCAATTTGATATATAGCCCGACGTTTGGGGTCAAGTATTTCTGCTCATAACTCAGAAAAACTATTTTGGCTTCATCAAATCATAGGCCTTCATCATAGCAGTTAGCCTTCCAGTTTATTTATAGTTCAATGGTTTTAACAGTTTGCGAGTCTTTGAAATCCTACATTACATAGGTACATGCAGGGATACATGCAGGGATAGCTCGGAATGTGTTATAGTCGTTAGTATTTAGATTGTGTAATTTATATTCTGACAAAGTTTTATAAAAACAAACTTAAAAAACACAAACTTAATTTATGCTGCGCGCCCTCATCTTGCCCGAACTGGCGGAGAAACTTTGGTTGAGGTGCTGCTATCACTGCAGTTGTTGGAAAAGTTACAGTTGACAATTATTAACTTTGATTGAGATTTGCGAGTGTCAAATACAAGTTTTTGGTGCGCTCGGGAAATTCAAGTACCTCAAGGAACTTATTTTATGGCCGAGTCATACTGACAAAACCTGCTCTTTAGTTGAGGTGTTACCACCACTACAGTTGTTGGAAAACCTACAGTTGTAAAGTATTAACTTTGATAATGGATGTCAAAAACAACTGTTGCTGCACTCCGAAAATTGAAATACCTCAAGGAACTCGAATTATATGGCACTCATATTACCCAGACTGCCGCAGAAGCTTTAGCTGAGATGTTACCATCGCCGCAGTTGTTGCAAAAGCTGCAGTTGGAAGATATTGCCTTTGATGGTGATTGTCAAAAACACCTGTTCGCTGCAGTCAGAAAATTGAAATACCTCAAGGAACTTTTAATTTAATGCGGGCCTCATGTTGCCCAAACTGAACAATTGTAGCTGTTCCAACAATTTACAATTTACAATTTTACAATTTTATTGAAGTTGCGCACGTCATATAGATTATTTACAAAAGTGAAGAGTAATAAGGTTATAGTGAGTAGTAGATATAAATTGGAGTTAATAATTCATTATGTCGTGCGCAGTGGACAAAGTAGCATAGTGCTTTCGAGTTGTCCACTCCCTACGATTTGCTACTAATAAGAAAGGAGCGGCGCTAGAACGAATTCGCAACTGTATATACTCTATAATTACATTTGAGTTAATAGGAGCGATTGCTTATAGTGTTTCTTAATAATAAACAGACAGGATGAGCTAGATTTTTTTACTGTGTAATCTACTGATTCCCATATTTTAGATGAAGCGAATTGAAATGTAAATTTTCCATAATTAGTTCTTACTTTTGGTCTGCTAAAATTTTCTTTTGAAGCAAACCTCGTATTATAGGTGTGCGACACGGAAGCGGACGTTACGTATGTAGAAAATATATTAGGTACATTTCTTGGTTCATTTAAAATTTTGTAAGTGAAATTAGCTATTTTAAGCCTGAAGACATTATCTAATTTTAGGATTCCCAAAAGGCTATTATAGTAAGGAGTGGCATCCTCTTTTTTTTGTGAGCAAAAAATATGCTTCTAATACATTTGTTGAGAGCTGTGCGGAGCTTGGTTAAATGAGAAGTATAAGTATTGGCCCAGCTCATTAGTCCATAGTTTATAAAAGGGTAAATTAAGGTATAGTAGAGTTGCTTAAGCGTATTTAAATCAAGGTAATATCTTAATTTGTTTACGATGCCAGTATTTTTTGAAATTTTGGCCTTCACGTGTTTGATTTGTTGTTCCCAAGTGATGTGTCTGTCAATGTACATACCTAAGTATTTTATGTATTGTGTTTGTTCTATGTTTCCAATTTGGATTTTACCGATCTTTTTCTGTTTTGAGCCAATAATCATAAAGTTCTTTTTTTATAGTTTATTGATAGTTTGTTTGTAGCACAATAGTTATCAATTTTTTTAATTTCCTGATTCATTACTATTTCAATTTCACTAACTGATTTACCTGAGTAAAAAACATTTGTGTCATCAGCAAATATTCGGAAGAATAGCTTTTTTGAACAGTTAGGCATATCATTTATATACAGCAAAAACAATAACGGTCCAAGTGTTGATCCTTGTGGAACTCCACAAGTCATTCTTAACATTTCAGTTTCGAGTCTGTGTTATCTATCCTAACGTATTGTTGGCGATTAGTTAGATAACATCTAAACCATTGGAGTGGAACACCTCGTATTCCATATTTTTGCAACTTTTCTAAAAGGATTTTGTGATTAACGGTATATCAAAGGCTTTTGAAAAATCTAAAAATAGACCGCACGTTAGTTGTTTATTATCTATCGCAGATTTTAGTTTATCAGTAAGTTCGAGAATTGCTTGCTCTGTTGAATGCTTTTTCCTGAATCCAAATTGATAATTGTACATTATATTGTACTTTTCAAGAAAATTATCCAATTGGTTATATACTAATCCATGATCGTGAATAAGGTTTTCAAGCCTGTCTGGATTCATAGTAGATCTCAGTCGCGATTTGACTATCTTCAACTTCGAAAACACTCTTTCGGCACTACATGAAGTGATTGGAAGTGTTAAAGCAATTTTCATCAATTTGCTAACACAAGCATAACACTGGGGTTCAGCCTGTAAAGCCTTGAACAAATCAAGAAAATCGGGATTCCGTTTCTCAGATACGGCCTTTTCAATGACATCTGTACGTTACCAATGATGATAGCTGTAACGAAAATATTTTACTCTCCAAAGCTTCAAGCAGGATGTAGGTATCCGAGGCCTTTGAGGACAGCTGTACTTTCCATGTTAAAACGAGTTTCAATCGAGTTGCTCATCAGGTCCAGTACCTAATTAAATAAAGATTGTGAAATTTACCACCTCTAAGACATGGGTCACATTATGAATCGTTTTAAAAACTCACATTGTAGAAAAAGAAAATTTTAAACTTGTCTTTGACTGAAACCTGAGCGGCTGTATCTGGGTTCTCATCCAGTCTCCGAGGAACCTTGCGCGGACGCTTTTCTTTTGGCTCCTCGATTCCCAATTTTGCGCATCTCTCTAGTGTTGCAAGCCACATCGTATCGAAGAGCCTTAATTGCAGTAAGAAGATCAGCTACTCTCTCACATCCTGAAACAACGTCGAGGCTTTCGGACTGAAGCTTGTCTGAAACCCCTTTACTAAGATGTAGCACTTTTTTAGCACCTTGCGATAAAATAGAACAAATTAAAAAGAACAGTTTTCATTATACGCATATTTTTTAAAACAAATAACAGTTCAATTATTCAAATTACCTCTAGAGCAACAATGAATTCGAAGTCTTGAACATTTTGCAGCAATCCCTTTGCCTCAGCTGCAATGGCCGCCTTTGTTTCATTTTCCCTAACCTCCTTCAGCGTTGCAATTACAGCATCTAAAGTACGGTGTATTCCTACTATACTGTCTGCACGACAAGCCCATCTGGTATCAGATAGCTTCTTAAGGGTATACTCCCTTTTTTCTCCTCCTCCGGCATGGGCATTAATTTCCCTCTGATTCTTCACATAAACACTATGTCGCTTTGGGCAAGACTGGATAAAGACATACAAGTTCTGTAACGTTCCAAAGAAATCTCGGGCAATCTTGTTTTTGCTCATTGTGTCCACAATGACAAGGTTGAGAATATGTGCATAGCAATGAGTATAGAGAGCAGAAGGTGAAACCTCTTTGATTCGTGCTTGCAGGCCAGTGTGCACTCCTGCTACATTGTTTGCACCGTCGTAACACTGTTCACGCAAGTGAGCAACATCTATTCCATGTTGCTGTAGCTTTTGGGTGACAGCCTCAAAAAGAGCTTCTGCTGTTGTTTCATTCATGGGCATCATCGCCAGCAAATGTTCCTCAACTTCGCCATTCCAAACAAATCGTACAAGCAATGACAACTGTTCAGTTTGGCTCATACCCGGTGTTTCATCGGCAATTATTGCATAAAACTTTGCCTCTTTAACTCGTCGTATAATTTCATTCAAAATGCTAGAGCCAAGAATTGCTATCATCTGATTTTGAATTTCAGGCGAGGTGTATTTTGCACTGTCTACAAATTAACCAAGCATCAAGTAATAAAGTATTATGTATGTATGTATGTTTATGTATCAAGTCAATAAAGTCATTAGTTATAGGAGTAGTTGGTATAAAAGTGCAAAAATTATGGAATTTATTTACATTACCAGGAGAGGTAGTTAAATGATTCTGTAACACTATGTCGCTTTTAGCAATATGAGTAATAAATTCTTTAGATACACCCTTATTCATTGATTGCTCATCCTCACGACGCCCTCTGAAAGGCAAGTTCAGCTTGCCAACAGTTCGAACGACATCAAATATTTTGCCAATGACACTTCTATTTGTTCTCACCTAAAACATAATTCATGTGCAACATGTCAATATCTTAATCGAGAAAGTAGTACCTCAGGCCTTTAAGTTTGAAATATCAGGTAAACATGTTTGTACAAATATTTATACATCTCTTGCATGTCTAACCAATTGCTGGCGATACGATTCTTGCTTCGCCGCTTCTTCACTAATTTGGTGATCCACTGGTTTTTGATATTTCCATTGACGATATGCTTGGCTGGAATGCCGATGGCAATCTGATTTTTCATGCTTCGAGAAAACTTCGCTTTTCTTCCAATTTCCAAATCCAACCTTTATGAAGGCTGGGTCACCTTTTGATGCAACCTAAACACATTATATATAGCCATGCAGCCATTTATAGACAAACTGAGTAGATTATTTTTCCCCATTTGAAAAAATGAGAATGTTTGGAAACTAATGTCATACATTGACAAATTCAGCTAAACAACTTATAATACACGATCACTAATGTACTAAACGTTTTATACCTGGGAATTAAAGACTCTACAATAGAAACAAAATGCTTTATTCTTAGCCGCTGAATATTCCAGCCACTTAAATTTATCGTACCAAGATGCCGAAAATTTTCGTTTTCGCTTGTCTTCCGGAAAAGAAATATTCTTTGGCTGGCATGGCCCTTTGCTTATTACGTGATCTCTCGATTCTTTCCCTGTAGGCAATGGAGCGGAAGGATCATATGAATAATTCATCAGATCTGAAGGAACTTCCGCCATTTTGATTTTGCAATTAAAACAGCATGGAACTTGATGTAAGCCTAATACCTAGTTTTTCAACCACATAAAAAATTAAGACATTTCCGATATACGTACTTAATTCACGTACTTGCGTGCTAAATTTTCCCAAAAGATATAAATTAACTCAGTAGTTTTCTCCCCATTTTTTCTGGCTTACTGGTCTTCTTTTACCATGAGATAACCCCCCCCCCCCAATTTTCTAACCGGATTTCAACGTTTTAGAAAAATGGTTTCTCAAACGATTGGGGGGGGCGACCGCCCCCCCCCTTGGCTACGCCCCTGCCTAGGAGAGTAGCTGATCTATTAAATGCACCTCAGCCAAATAATGCACATGAAGTCAGGAGCTTTCTTGGCATGGCCAACTATAGTAGTAAGTACATTCGAGATTTTGCAACACTAACTGCTCCCCTTCGTGACCTGACGAAAAAGGATGTTCGTTTTGAGTGGACTCAAACACACCAAACTGCTTTTGAAAAGCTGAAAAACACGCTTGCAATTGCTCCATGTATGTCATATTTCGACAAAAACAAACAAACTTTTGTGACAGTTGATGCTAGTCCTGTAGGAATTTCTGGAATTCTTTCTCAGAAACCAAGAAACGGTGACGTAGACAGTCAACAGATAATTGCATATGCCAGCCGAGCGCTGACTGATACAGAAAAGAGATACTCCCAGACGGAAAAAGAAGTGTTAGCGATAGTATGGGCAGTTGAACATTTCCATTTATTTTTATTTGGAAGTGAATTTACACTAATAACTGACCATAAACCTTTAGAAATTATTTATGGCCAACGTACAGCCAAAACAACTGCATGAATTGAAAGATGGGTGCTTCGCCTCCAACCATATACATTTAAGATAATCTATTAATCAGGTGCCAGCAACCCTGCGGACTATCTTTCCCGTCATCCAACAAACGAAAGCAAACGAAAACAGGAGAAGATGACGGAGCAATATATTAATTTTATAACTCAAAACAGTGTCCCTAAGGCGATGACATTACAAGAAATAATCAATGCAACTAACGCAGACGCAGCACTAACGGCACTTTATGATGCAATTAAAACAAACAAATGGGATTCCCCAATTGTAAAACCGTCCAAACCGTAAAAAGCGAACTTACGTCTACCACACACGGTGTTATACTTCGAGGAACACGGATTGTCATTCCTGCGGCTCTACAACAACGTGCAATAGATATAGCACATGAGACACACTTAGGAATAGAGAAAACGAAGTCTCTAATTCGTGAAAAAATCTGGTTTCCGCAAATTGACAACCAAGTCAAAAACACAATTGTTAAGTGCACCACTTGTCAAGCTGTCGGACAGGCGAATCCTCCAGAACCATTACGTACGACCGAAATGCCAGAGTTACCATGGAGAACTGTCCACATAGATTTTTATGGTCCACTACCATCGTCTGAATATCTGTTAGTGGCGGTAGATAGATACTCCAGATTCCCAGAGGTTGAGATAGTTCATTCAACACGAGCCTCAACAGTCATTCCAAAACTTGACAAAATGTTCTCAGTCCATGGCATTCCTGACACCCTTATATCTGACAATGGTCCCCCTTTTAATGGAGACGACTATGCACGATATCTGAAAGCCCTTGGTATTCAAGCTAAGTTTTCAACACCCTATTGGCCCCAAGGTAATGCTACAGTTGAACGATTTATGCGACCGTTAGGAAAAGCGCTCAAGACAGCGACACTCGAAGGACGACCATGGAAACAAGAATTGAACCGTTTTCTTTTACAATATCGTGCCACTCCACATTGCACTACAGGAGTACCTCCATCAGAACTGTTGTTTAACCGAGTGATAAAAGGAAAATTACCAGTTATAAACAGCAAGAAGATTGTCAATCGACATAAAGAAGCTCGAGACAATGAGAAAACACGACAAGAACGCAACCGAGAATATGCAAATCAAAGGAGAAACACAAGAAAAAGTGATCTACAAGTTGGAGATTATGTACTGGTTAGACAAGAAAAGAAAAACAAGCTAACTGCGAATTTTAATCACAAACTGGTTCAGAGATCCTTGCCCAAAGTAAAGATGGTCATATTGTGAAACGCAACGTCTCACATTTCAAGCGAATAAATAAACCACGAGAAGAAGACACTGATGATGAAGGTTTCGATTATGAAGAAAACTCGCAGAACAATCAGCCATCCATCAGTAATGAAAACAATGTAGCACCAAGATCAAGCCGAATTCGAAGACTACCGAATCGATACGGACATGAATATCCATCAAATCTAATAAACTAACATAGCAATGAAATAGCTAAATAACTTCAAATTTAATTAAACATTTTGATATTTGACAATCAAGTTAAAACAAAGGGAATGGTATAGTAATGTACGTCTATTAATCATTAACGCACGTTTTACGATTAGTTTATATTTAGAATCTGGACATTATATATTCAGTTGTTTACATGTAGCCGAGATATCAAGAAGTCTATTAAATAAGAGAACATTATAAACACTAGACTCATTACTCATCAGGGGGAGAGTGCTACCACTCAATGAGTTAAAAAAACATTCAAACAAAATGTTTGGCAGAAGATGCAAAATTGTTTATTGGTGTCTGGTGTGATACTGATATTTCTTTTATCTCTAAGGATAGACCTGGGGAGTTTCTTGTGGTAGTCTTGTTTTCATGTACTGCATGTGTTTTCCTCACTTCCCTGATTCTATCATAAGTATTGTATCGCGTGGACACCATCTTATCAGTTCTGCAGTTTTTTGACAATCTACCGTAAACCTCCGACTATAAGCCCTGGGCTTATATTCTTTCGTGAACGATTTTTGATGGGCTTACACAAGGGGGCTTATACATGGACAATCTTTTGTGTTGGTAATAAACAAGTCAGTCATAAACAGGAAAATAAACATGTATTAATAACACACTTTGATTAACGTAGTAAGCTATAAAGACAATGAGGGGGGCTTATAATCAGGGGGGG